GTCAGCAGGAAACCTGTTCTGGTGCAACCTGAGGGTTTTGAACAGCCCATCTGTTCCTGTCTCGGCAAAAAGCATAGAGCTCCAGTTCAATTACTTTGAGGCGACTGGTCCAGAGAAGCTTCGGGAGGAGGTGGTCATTGCACTTGAGCAAGGTGTTGGGGTGGATCAATTCCAGCGGCAGCAGGTGCAGGGCAGGCTTCGCCGAATCTCTCCCGAAGAACTGGACCATTCATTGATTATGTACATCGCAGATTTGATCAAAGAGGGTCATGATGATGCCAAACTTCAGTGTCCTGATTGCACTTTCTCCCCTGTTATGGTTGAAAGGTGAAGGCTCACCTATTGAGGAGATGCACTAGTTTATATTGAAATCACGTAAAAAATTGTGTGTTTCCAGAGTCCAAATTGATGTTTGTCAGCGCCAAGGCAATGGAAGCAAGTGCTACTTAGTGTGTCCATGCGCGTGGAGCTTGTGGATAGCTATGAGGCCATGTTTTGGAAGGGCATCAACTTGAGGCAACGCTACATCAGCACCTATGACAGTTTGACAAGGTCAACCATCCAGTCAGTGCTAGAGCTTGTGAAGTTCCGTGATGAGCTCTTACCTGCTGGATCAAGGAAGGAAATCGCTGATCATTGGCAAATGAAGGTAGCAGACCTTGGAAGCGCCCTTGTCGACAAGATGGACTTCGCCTTCGTTGACACCGCCCTCAAAGTGCACGACAGGATGCTATGCTACCCAGCTGTCTTCAAGGCAATCATGGAGATGGACATGGCCTTTGGAAAAGCGTCCTGTCTCAATTACCTCAGGGTTCTTGAGCTCATTTGCATGAAGGGCAAGGAGGCTGAGCAGCTTTGGATGATCCAGTCCATCAGGGACTACATCTTTGTATTGAAGGAGTACACGAACAAGGACCTCTCCACGAGAGCTCTGCAAGGTTCACCCAACAACCGCGGGCTGCTTGATGTTTTCCTAGCCAAACGGAAGATGGTGCTTTGGCTTCTTGAGCACTTACAGTCTAAGAATTGCCCATGTGATTGGATCGATACCCTCCGGAGTCTCATTACCCATGCAGCTTTTCGTGAAAAGGTTGGCTCAGGCTCTGGTTCTCGCAATGCAGATCAGCCTGACAAATCGTGGCTGGGAACAGAACATGAAGTTGTTCGATTAGCTGTGGACATCATGAAGGCAAGGTCCCACATCCAATCCAAACCCTTAGGTTTACTTCCCTTTTGGCATATCAGTTTCTTGGTGTTCTTTGATTATTATAATCATTGGTTGATTGTCAGTTTCTTTCATCGAGCCCCCTGCCAGAAAGCGATCTTCAGCGCCCAGCACGATCACACCCTCAAGAACATCTTGAAAGGATCCTCAGCGCCTCCGGACATCTTTGCCAAGGAGCCCTACAATGAGATGCTCAAGGGGGTTGATGACGCACTTGATGCTGTAAACCACAAGTTGAAGAGGAAGGACGAAGAAGTCCAAGAGGCGAAAATTCGTGATGATGACCTAGTTGCCTTCTTGCCAGAGGGGGTGGAGCAATGCCCTGAGGACCTTGAGCACGCCTTTCAGGCTGAAATTCAAGAGGCAGCAGAGCTGGTTGACCGATTTGTGAAGTGGATCCCTGAATGTGAGAGCAAAGCCGAGCTTACACAGGCACTTGCAGACACAGCTGTTGCCAAGAAGCAGCCTGAGGGCACAACAGCACTCATAGTGCTGGACACGAAGACCTGTGGAGAATCGTCTTCACAACCGCACTTGAGGCTTCCTCAATTTCGAGCTCCAGGTCTCAGGAACGCAGTGCAATCATTCTGCACAGCTCGAAACAAAGAGCAGTTTGATGAAGATGAGATGTGTGCAGTTCTTGATGGCTCCCGAATGATTTCAACCTCAATTATGACATGCTTTGTCCGCGATGATGGGTGCCACTTCGAAGGGAAGACCAGGACAGAATTCGTGATACATTACGATGAAAAAAGCATGCGAGCACGAAAGATGGTGAGCCGTGGGCTTGTGCAGGTGCACGAAGGGTTGCACGTGTTCAGCAATGGAGCATTGTCATTGCCAGAGGCACGTACAAGACTCTACGGGGGCTCCAATTATTCGACATCCATTGGACCAGTCATCATGGACAGCTTTGAAAATCTATGGTTGGTATCACCTGAAAAGAAAAAGGAATATGAGGCGGGAAAAGCGAAAGTGCTCGCTGGCGGCGGCCTTGCAGGTGATCCGCCAAAAAAACCGGAATTGTCCGGTGAGCCGATGTCATTTCACACCATGCCTTTGAAATTCTACAAGGAGCTCATTCACTCCTTCTGTGCTGGAGTGGTCTTCTTCCTTTCCGATACTGACGGGGTTGGAGCCCTGGCTGCCATTCTTGCAAAAGTTCCCTGTGTGGCTTTGGTGTACAGCGCCTCGCATGGAGCTGCTTTGCGGCTGAAGCTGATGGAGCATGTGTTCAAGGAGTTCCAAACACAAAGCTCGCCACTTCACCGGGTGGCCCTGACACTTGAATCCAACAAGGGTTTTCCGTCTCAAGAGTTCAATGTGCTATCGCGGTGCTGTGCAAGCGCCAGTGTTTTGAACAATTAATTGTGAGTATTGGTACTTATAACTGGTAGGCAGGAATGGGATACTATAACTGGTATAACGGTATAATTTGAATAAAGTTACTTATAACTTGAAAAACTTTCAGGCTTTTAATTTGTGTTTGTTGTGCTTGTCGGTTAATTTACAAGAACAAAACAATATTTATATATATATATGCATATTTATTGTATGTATGTTTGCAGACAAATGACAGAACGCTTGTTGTGTATGAGTGCAATATATATATATACCCAGCGTGGCGCCCATGCATTGAAACAGCAATAAAACATTGTTAGTTCCAAACTTTTCCACAAACACGACAGGTTCGGTAACTTAAATAAGTTCGGCCATATTTAACTCAAGATCTACAAGTAGCACGAGTAACAGTAATGTGCTATGTCAAACTGACTGAGGACCAGCCTGATGAGCAAGATCAGCAAGATTGGGAAGACGGCAGAGACAACCCCTGAGACTAAGGAGAAGGACAAGACGACTGGTCGAGGGGGGAGGGGCCAGGGGCGTGGTCGTGGTGGCCGAGGAGGAAATAAGAGGAAGACAGCTGATGGTGTTCCTACGGGCGGCACTGAGGGTGAAGCAGCTCCCAAGAAGAATAAGGCAGAGAGCAAGGCGGATGTCATCAAGGCATTGGTGGGCATGCAGGAGGAAGGCGATGATGCAGCCATTGAAGATGAGGACTTGCAGGAAGGGTGAGTGATTTTGCGCTTTTGAGCTAATGTCACGAGCCTGGAGTCCCAGTTAAACCCTAATTTCAAAGTATGATGATGAATGATATGTCCACCATTTAATTCACTATATGTTACACTGTGTAGTTGACTGGGCTGGCCAGGTCGTTTGATCCAATCCAAGTTGAAGCCTGATCAAGCTTCCAACTTTGCGAAGCTGGAAAAATGTGCTGAGGAAGCGCTTGCACAGCACCGCTTAACTGAATAAAGTCTTGAAGTGCTGAAGAAGCGCTTGCACAGCACCACTTAACTTGGTAAAGCCTTGAGGTGCTGAAGAAGCGCCCCGCACAGCATCGTTTCTCAAAACACGTTTGTTGATTTTCGGGCTGGCATTTTCAAAGCAAGCGCTTGTGCAGCACCTGGGATCAAGAAAATGGTAAGGCAAAATGCCTAAACGCAAGCGATCCCAACCTTTGACTTTTGGTTCCGCATGTTCGGGTTTGTGCGCGGAGCTTTTTGCGGCCGAGTATCTCGGGGTGGAAGCGACAGCAATCTTTGCCTGCGACAATGACAAGCATGTCACCACGCTTAGCAAACAGCTGTGGCAGCACAAGTTCTACTACAACGACGTCTTTGAGGACGAGTTCGTGCAGAATGCCCCTTGTGTGGACTTCTTTTTGGGAGGCTTCCCATGTGGACCATTTAGCTTGCAAGGCCTTGGAAAAGGGGTCAACGATGAAGCCCAAGGTACGGTTGTGTACCGGCTCCTGATGTACATAGCCCGGAAGCAACCCACAACATTTCTGCTGGAGAATGTGAAAGGGCTACTGACAGCGCACCCCAATGTGCTGCTTGAGGTCATGACATTCTTGCGGGGCTTGAAAGTCAAAGGAAGCAAGAAGCCGCTTTACACGGTGGTATGGGCATGTCTGAACTCCCGCGATTTTGGGCTACCCCAGAACAGAGAAAGGATCTTTGTGGTGGGTCTGAAGAACTCACACAAGATTGCAGACTTCTCTTGGCCAATCAGCGTCCCTTGTGCTGAAGTCTTATTTGTTTGTACTTTATTTATTATAACGGGATGAAACAGGTCTATTTGAGCCGGACGCCTGTTAGCATGAGGTGAAAATGCGATCCTTGTCCTGCTTTCTCGACATGGATGATGTGGGGAACATGGTATCAAACATGAAGAAGCTCAACAAGACGGAGCTTGAAAACATCCGGAAGAGCTACCAAAAGATCAAGTCTGAGGGAGGCAGCCCTGCCAAACAACACTACGTTTTGAATGCAGGGGGCACATCGCCGCAGTATAACCTCAACTACTCCCCGTGCCTTACACGGACCCGGTGCGGATCGAAGGGCTATTGGCTCTCCTGGCTCAACCGCCCAATGAAGACACATGAAATGTGGGCTTTGCAAGGCCTACCCAAGAAGTCTTTTCCCAAGGAGGTCGTCAGTGAGAGCCAGCTTGGAAAGATCATTGGAAATTCAATTCCAATTACAATGTTGGCAGCAGTGATGCGCAATATGTTTGAGGCGTGTCAGTTCCGCTAGTCAGTGCTGAAAGCGCTTTGGCTTGGGGGGTGAAAAATGGTGGTGTGAGACTGTGAGACCTCAGTGTGCTGTTTGTCGCCGCTGCTCAAACTCATTTGCCAGGTTCAACCTCGGCCTCATTCATCCAGGCATGTCGGGGCCTCAAACTGGAGCAGGGTCACCGTACCCGGCGTAGCTTTTTGTCAACCTTGGCCATGGTGACAAAAACTTGCTCTGGCAACAGGTCCACATAGGTTTGGTAGACCTTTCGGGATTCGATTTGAGCCCACACCATTCCAAACTGCTCTGATACCCCAGCACCTGCAAAAGTAGAGATTGAATGCCGCCGGCCAGAGTGGCTGCGGATGCCTTGCCCATTGAGTAAGTCAGGGTATTTGTCCTGAAACTTCTTGACAAAGCCAGCACGATGTTTGCAAATATGCCGAGCTACTATGTCCTTTGTGATGGGTTTGCCCTTTCCTCGTCCCTGTGCAGGAAATAAATAGCCCGTTTTGGGCCACTTCCACCATCCTTCCTTCTTCCATTCTGCAATAGTGGCCACTGTTGATGGAAGTATAGGCTTCCACAAGGCCTTGTGCTTTTTGAATGTTTCCAACCACACTCGCTTCCTGCGGAGATCTAGGTGTTGAACTTTTAGTTGGCACACCTGTGATACTCGAACGCATAGTGCCTCGATCAAAGCAACAATGATGAAGTACTTCATTTCTGCGTGGGCCTTCAAATACTTAAGCCACTCTTTCCAAAGCTGCCCCTGCAGAGCATGAGCGCGACCCAACTTTTTCCCCATGTTTTCTGCTGCGCCGCTTTTTAGATTAGGTATACATATAGTAGGTCCAACAATGCGCTGAAGAAGCGCTTTCACAGCACCTTTTTTTCCAAAAACATGTTGTTGATTTTGTATCAGTTATCTTGAGCTAAAATAGCCTGTATCAATGACGATCGTGCTGAGTAAGCCTGGTGCTGAGCAAGCGCCAAGAGTTTTGTGTTAAAGTGCTTTTCACCAAATGCATCACATATGTTAAAATCAGATCTTACCGGACTAAGCCCGAAGGCTGGTGCTGAACAAGCGCCATGTATTGCGTTAAAGCGCTTGCAAAAATGCACCCCGCCTCAAGGTGCCATCATGACGCCGGCGCCGGTGTTTTTTGAAATGGCCCGGGCCGGGGCCTAATCCTGCAGCAACGCATCGGAAACCACAGTTGCATACCTGTAGTGTCATGCATGCACACATATTGCTCATGTGATTTTTCGCGTGCGCGGTGCTCAAAAAGACAGGGGAAGCTAGCCGCGCAAGGGCGCGGCAGCAAAATGGGGAAACCAACAAACAAGTAAGCAGGGTCAAAAAGATAGAGAACACAGCCAAGAAAGGTTCACACAACAGCCAACTCCAAGAGCAACCCCAAGAGCAACGTTGCCCAGCTCCAAGAGCAACCCCACTTGCACAATACACACTGAAACACGCACAATACACACAACACACAAGCTAGCAGCCAGAGCAAATCCCCGATTTGCCCGCTCCGCCATGGCTGATGATGAGGAGTGGCCCTGGCCCCAGGAGCTGACCTGGGGCGCCAACGACTATGGGCGCTACCGGTGGTGCCCGTGGCGCGGTCCTGGCTCGGATGGAGGCGGTGGCAATTCCAGGTCGAACCGCCAAAATGCGGCCAGAGAGAGGCGCCGCGCAAACCGCTGGCAAGAGCGAGAAGACGAGGACGAGCAACGCCGCAATGCCGCCCAGTCCAATGAGCAAGACCGCTTTGCTGTTGCGCAAGAGCTCCAGCAAGAACGCTCTGCTCTTGCACAAGCGAGAGAAGAGCTCCAGCAAGAACGCTCTGCTCATGCACAAGCGAGACAACAGCTCCAGCAAGAAAGCTCTGGTCTTGCACAAGCGTCACAGGCGCTCCAGCAAGAACGCTCCGCTCGCGCACAAGTGACGCAGGCGTTCCAGGAAGAACGCTCAGCCCGTGCACAAGTGACACAGCAGCTCCAGCAAGAACGCGCTGCTCGTGCAGAAGTGACACAGGAGCTCCAGCAGGAACACTCTGCTCTTGCGCGAGTGTCACAAGAGCTCCAGCAAGAACGCTCTGCTGGTGCACAGGCCCAGCAGCAGTTGAAGGTGAAGGAGGCCATAGTGAACAAGTTGCTGGAGTACCAGTCGAAGCTGGTGAGAGATGGTGAGGCTGGCGATTTGTTGTCAGTTGGGGTGCTGAACAAGCGCCCATTTTTTCTAGTAAATATATATAACACCTATACGCATATGTGTTTTGAAATGGCCAGCTGTGTGCTGAACAAGCGCCAATGATTTCATGGTGTTGAACAATAGCCGATAGCCCATATGTGTTTTGATCTACCTGGGCACTGGTGTGAGGCCACGGAGCAGAAGCTCAACCAGACCGAGGAGCATGCCCGGAAGCTTCAAAGGCAGCTGGACGAGACCATGAACAAGGTCACCGCCCATGAGGAGATGCAGCTGAAGATGCAGCTGAAGCTTGGCAAGGCTGAGGAACGGGCCCAGAAGCTTCAGAAGATGCTGGAAGAGAAAATGGACAAAAAGGTCTCGCCAACCTCCCCAGCTGATGACATTGTGCCAGAGGTGACGCCAAAGGAGGTGGCGACGGAGGCGACGCAGGACACCTCTGAGAAAGTCGAGGAGAAGAAGGCGACAAAGAAAGCAAAGAAAGATGCAAAAGCGAAGAAAGAGAAGAAGGACCAGGAGGACCAGAACATGGCGTCCAAAGCGTCAAAAGAGAAGAAGGACAAGCAGGACATGGCGCCAAAAGAGAAGAAGGACAAGCAGAAGATGGCGCCAAAAGAGAAGAAGGACAAGTGCCAGGAGAAGATG